TAATTGATTTATTGACTATCGCGACAGGCCTATTTGGAAGCCTTATCAACACAGACTGGCTTCATTCACTTCCTCCACTGCCGTATGCTAAAATAACTAGCAGACACTGCGCAGAACATCTACGTCATTCAAAACTCCGCCTTCTGTTTGCTGATTGGCCCAGGTAAAATAAACTACAAGCAGACACTGCGCAGAAAATTGACGTTCTATTCTGTGATTTGCCCGGCTAAAAATCTGCCAGCGAAATCCTTGTCTATGGAAGAAATGCCAGACGGAGCAGTGAAGGGAAACTAGAATTGAGTGGAGCTGTGTAGGAAGGCAAGGGCCAGGCTACTCTGCAGTCAGARAAATCTGAGGGACATTGTTTGGTTTTCCTGCTGAGCGGAGAACAAAGACAMAGACGTGACCCAACAGTGTGTGAAACATGAAACATCTCTTAAACAAAGGATTGATGGGTAACAGTCTCTTATCTCTCATCTGCAATTAGCAGAAAGTTGGAATRTGCTGCACTTTTCATTYTAAACCACAAKTATGCACCTAAATCCAGTGTTTTAAGTGATTTAATCCTATGGGCTCATTACAGAACCCCAGGCTCATATTTTACAAACTCAGGCCTCATTAAATCAAGAGTAAAAAGCAGTGAGACCTGATGAGCTTGGAGTCTTCCTCAGGGGATTTACTGCTAGAGCAGACAGAGAAACCGTAAAGTTAGATTATGACAGGCTGCCTGTCAGAATAAAATCCCAAARATCTGCAGGGACAAGTTTCAGCTCTCTGGCAAAGATGTGTGAAGCATGCCACTTGATTTCTTATTTTTGTTCAAGATCCATCTTTTCTTTTTAATGGTGTTTCACTGGATTTTAAGGGTCCAGCTGTTAATTTGATTTTTTTTCATGGGTTCATTTTTCTGTTTTTAATTTACAACCTAAATGCTGAAATGGTCTAAAAGATAAATAAAAACAGCACAGTGAAAATTCAATAAACCCATAGTTTATTCTCATGGGACATAATTAACAAATTGTATCATAAATAAAATACATATTTTTGAATAATATAGCAGCAACACATCACTTTCTACAACTAACCAGTTAATTATCAGAAGGTCAATGAGAGGACTGAGTATTTAAAAAAAGAATATTTGAATATTTCAAAGGTAAAAAAAAAACGCTTCTTAAACTAGTCAGTTCCTCAATGAAAAACTCTGAATTTCCATCATCTCCAATTCATAATCTCAACAGATAATCTGTAAAAATCTCTGACCTCAAAGGCTGAAAGTCAGTCCTCAGGGGGTCCACTGCATTAAAACCAGGTCTGGTTCTGCTCTGGACYTCACTGCATGGACTCAGGAGCKCTTCAACAGATCATKGTRTGRCTCRTCAMGTCCTGYATGTTAAAGAGGATATGTTTCACAGAGAGGGAGCATCTTTTCATTTATTGTAAATAAAAGGTTTCTGTGCAGCTATATAGCCTTAAACCCTTCTATCAAACTAGAATGAACTGGTCTGGAAGGTTGGGGGAGGGGGTATACTGTATGTGAAGCAACTTGTTTTGATTTAAAGTGACCTCAAAACGAGTTGATCTGAGACACACTTCATCAAAGGGGATGAAAGAGGGGATTGTGGAGTTACAATAAGGAGGAATTCAGACCAGAGTATTGCAGATTGATTCTCTCAAGCACGGTCTTATGCAAGGACCGTTTGTACGAACAGATTTGTTCTTAAGTTGTGCGTACGAGTGATTTAGGAGAACTTGTGGCATTCACCAATTTTTCATATTCTAAGATATTTTTCAGATACGAACAAAATTCACGAGTGGTCCAGACCTGTCGTATATTTTACGTGCAGTCATTCTGCTGTTATCCACACTGATTATCTTCACTAATAATATTCAATAATATTTCATTAGTTTGAAAATATTTCGAGTGGAAAATAAATCACACTCCGTAATTATATAGGCTATTCTTTTTTAATTAATAATTTCAAATGTAGACTAACAATGTAAATTGTTTAAATCAAAATAAATTGGATATTATAGCTGCTGTATGACACTACAATATTAACATGAAGKTCTCAAACTACAAACCAACTTAATGCATTAATTGAAGTTTAATTTGTCTTGGTATATAACAAGCTTTACAGATTATTTTTTAATCAAATTTTATTTTGTTGAGATTTATTCAGCACATCAGCTATGTTATTTTCTCCAAAGTGACAGACATYTTTTGGAGACATTTTAAAATGCTTTTAATCAGAAACACATCTGACACCACTTGTGTGTGTGGAAGACAGCAGGGGAGTGACAGCAGGGGACTGGCACATCGGTCTGTGGCTCTTCTTCTGAATAAATGAAAATGATGTTAACACAGTTGTTTACACTTAAATTAAAAATACTTGACCAAAGGAAAACCAGAGCAGGACTAGAGAGAGATGAATATGATTTAGATTTTTATTTCTGTGACTGTATACGACCCACAGGAGARATGGAATTAACAGCAGTCATTTCATTCCTTTAATTCCACAGCTGACGCTGCTAAAAATGACAGATTTTCTTTTCTGGATCTCTGAGAGCAGGACTTCAATCTCTGAACTCGTAAAGTTCTTCTTTTTACTTTGCGATGTCATTTATGAATGGACACTTCCTGGTGTGTGAGGCAGGAAACGTAGCCTTATATGGTGTTTTTGGGGTGGTAATTATGCTAATTTTCTCTCTTCTTGCACGAGCACATTCATCATATTTACGCTTCTCGTTTACACACTTTTCCTTCATATGAACAAAAGTAAGAGAAATTTAGGATAAGATTATGAAAATGTTCTTGCATGAGGCCCAATATGTTTTATTTTACGAGGAATAATCACCACTCCTCTTAACTACTCTGATAAAACATGGTTTTATCAGAGCTGAAYTGTGTAATGGTTCTCAGCAGCTAAAACAGCAGCAGGTGTTCCCATTGTTGCACTTCAGAGATTCAGAGAACAGAGGGTGGTAAGATGATCTCAGAGTATCCATGTCCTGCATGGAGAGTAAAATGGGTGGAGTAGTCAACGACACACAAATATTTCAGACTCCAGTCTCAATAGACCACTTCAGAACAGTCCGATGTTTGGTTCTGATCCATTCTTGGGTCCTTATTCTGTTGGAGGACCCATGATCTGTAACTGAGACCAATCACTAGGCAGCACATTTAGCTCCAGAAAGCCTTGGTAGTCTTGAGATTTCATTGTACCCTGCACAGATTCAGGAGGCCCTGAATTAGCAAAGCAGCACCAGATTAGAACCAAGCCTCCTCTGTGTTTCACTGTGGGTCCAAGGTTCTCTTCTTTGTTTCATGTTTATGAACACTGAGCTGAGGTTTGTTGACAAAAAGTTTTAGTTTTGTTTTATCTGTCTAAAGGACATTCTTCCAGAAGCTTTGTGGTTTGTCGTGTCCGTCCGTCCGTCTGCCCGTTTTCTGCCGCTTATCCAGGGTCAGGTCGAGGGGGCAGCAGCCTAAGCAGAGAGACCCAGGCTTCCCTCTTCCCAGCAACTTGGGCGTTCCCAGGCCAACCGAAAAACATCCTCCAGCGTGTCCTGGGTCTTCCACTGGGCCTCCTCCCGMTGGGACGTGCCCGGAACACCTCACCAGGGAGGCATCCAGGAGGCATCCTTACCAGATGCCCGAGCCACCTCAACTGGCTCCTCTCGATGTGGAGGAGCAGTGGCTCTACTCTGTCTCTCCCGAATGACTGAGCTTCTCACCCTATCTCTAAGGGAGAGCCCAGACACCCTGCGGAGGAAACTCATTTCAGCCGCTTGTATCRGGGACCTCGTTCTTTCAGTCACTACCCAAAGTTCGTGACCAAAGATGAGGGTAGGAACGTAGACCGACTGGTAAATRGAGAGCTTCGCCTTCTGGCTCAGCTCTCGTTTCACCACAACAGATCGGTACAGCGCTCGCATCACTGCAGACGCAGCACCAAATCCCCTGTCGATCTCCCGCTCCATTCTTTCCTCATCCGTGAACAAGACCCCGAGATACTTAAACTCCTCCACTTGGGGCAGGACCTCCTTCCCGACCCGGAGTAGGCACACTACCGGTTTCCGGCTCGTGACCATGGTCTCGGATTTTGAGGCACTAGCCTCATCCCGGCTGTTTCACACTCGAATGTGAACCGCTCCAGTGAGAGCTGGAGATCATGATCTGATGAAGTCAATAGGACCACATCATCTGCAAAAAGCAGAGACGTGATCCTAAGGTCACCAAAAAGGATCCCCTCAACTCCTTGGCTGCACCTAGAAATTCTGTCTGTAAAAGTTATATATAAAAATCAAGAAAACAAGTCCATTTGAATAATTAAAACTCCCTTTTCCGAATAAAACAATTGTAATTATTCACTTTATTCTTTTATTATTTTTGATAAAGAGATAAAGGTTGAATGCATCTTTGGGAGAGGTTTGGAGTAGTGAGGGTTGCCAACTGTATTAACTAGAATATCTCGTATTTTAAATCAAACTGAAGTGTCCAATACAGAATGTTCTTTCTCGTTTATTCTGACTGCAGCCTGCAGGGTAGTCTTGTCATGGCAGGCATGTTACCATTTATCTATCAGCTGAAGGGGGTCCCCAGGGGACGGTGCTAAAGTGGCCAAATGCAACAATCATCTGAAACATTAAGGGCATTGAAATGACTGGTGTACTCACTCTCCCCTTTTAAGGAACCCCACAACAGAAACACAGATTATAGCAGCTTTTTTCATCCATTTACTGAACTTTAGCACAAGGTACAGACTATTGTTAGTGTGGTGTGGGACCATATTTTTATAGTAAAATAATATTGTAAATCTAAAATTTGCCACAAATATGTAATGGCACTTCTATGGATCATTGAAAACACAGATGAAATAAGAACTATAAAACATAAAATACATATAAACATACGGTCCTTTAGTAGTTGTGTTGTGTTTAAGTTGTGTAGTATGAAGGTAATGTAGTTTTATGTAAAAAGCTGTTATCTTTGCAGATATATATTTTATTTCTGAGTGAAATAATGTTATGTTGGGGTTTCAACTCATTTCTTTAAGTAAAGTTGCTGCAGAGACTCAAACATTCTTGCTGAAGTTCAAATGTTCCTTCAGGGCAAACAGTAAACTACCGAAGAAACATATTTTCATCTGTTGCATCTATAACTAAAAGTACAGCTGATGAATTTAGGTTTAATTCCATGGAGGAAATGTTTATTAAATTTGTTTCCCGAACCAAAAACCTGTTGAAGATAAGCAGTAATCTTTTCATCATTTGTGGGTTTTCTTCCTTCGGGTTGAGATTTTCCCACTTTTATCTGATTTAGCTGTCTCCTGACAGCTTGGGTTAGTTCTGGTTAGAAATTTATGGTTTGTTTGGTGCTCTGAAGTTTAGTGTGTGTGTGTGTGTGTGTGGGGGGGGGTGTTCGGCTTTGGTAACATTTGGGGGCAATTGTAAGAGAAAAATCCTGCATTTGGGGACAACTGGTGCATTTGGGGACCTAAGTTGAGTCCCCATTTGGTTTAAATGCCATTGGTGGGTTGGGGGTTGGGTTTAGGACCAAGGTGTGAATTGAGTTCAGGTTAGTTTTAGGGTCAGGTAGGTACCTGTGAGGTTAGCCTTAGGGTTTGTGGTCAGGGTTAGGCTGTACAAATGTAATGGAAGTCAATGGAATGTCCCCAATTAGATAGCTGTGCAAACTTGTGTGTGTCTATATATATATATATTATTCTATTCTATTAAATTAAATTATATTAGACTACAGAACTGTTCAGATACACATAACATTCTAATGTGACTAAGATCTGGAGATTAACAAACTTTTTATGTGAATTTCCCTCAGAGACTCCACTAAAGACTGTTCACCAACATGATCTTCATCTTCTTCATTGGTAAGTTCAACTCATCAAGGATAAGTGGAAGAAAGTTGAGGAAAAATAACTTTGGTTTAATTATTAAAAAGCACAGCTGGAGTGAAAAACCTCTAGATTTAGTAGATCCAGTGGAGCTGTGGGAGTGGGTTTGTTGTAGCAGGTGTATAATAGCATCTTCAACTCTAACTCCACGACAATAAGGAAACTGCAGGGGGTCCTGGTGTGTGCTTGTTTGCTTACTCAGGTGGGTCAACAGGAGTCTTTCTTCTACTTCTAGGACCTTCATGATGTGGGATGTCAAAGCAACTGGTCTATAGTCATTGAGGGCTGATGGCTACGTTTGCCTTGGTACTGGGACCAGACAGGATGTCTTCCACAACACTCGAAACTTCTCTTGCTTCAAGCTAAGGTTGAAGAAGTGTTGCAGAATCCCACAGAGCTAATGTGAACAGGTCTTCAGGACTCTGGGGCTGACACCGTCTGGACCTGCAGCCTTGTTCTGGTTCAGTCTCTCTAGCTGCCTCTTCACCTGACTTCTAGATACAGAAAAGAAGGAGGGGGAGGCAAAAGGAGCAGCAGCATCTCCTGATTTAGTTGAAGACAAACTTGTGGATGTAGAAGAGTCCATGACTGAGGTTGAAGATAAAACATCTGCATTTTGACAGGAAAGCTGTGGGTCAACAGAGGAGGCTGGGAGCAGGAGTGGAAAAAGATGAGCTTGTTCCTGAGCTGAACCTGTTGAAGAATGTGTTCAGCTCCTTTGTTCTGTCCAGACTTCCATCCATCCTTTTGCTTGAAGCCTGTGATCTTCTTCATCTCTGACCACACATCTCTGATATTGTTCCTTGGCAAGGAGGTTTATAGAAGGAAGCTGGAGGGTAAACTGCAGTCTCTGATCTTGACTTGGAGCTGCTTCTGTATACTCCTCAATAACTCCCTGTCTCACTCGCTAAAGGCTCTTTTTTCTTGTTTAACTCAACTTTAGCTCACTGGAGATCCAGGGTTTGTTATTAGGGAAGCATCTCACTGTTCTGGTGGGGATGGTGTTGTCCAAACAGAAGTTTATCACTCAGTCATGGCATGTCAACATGCGCCTGGCAAAGAGCAATCCAATTTGTAGCTTCAAACAAACCTGTGGGACTTCTTCAGCTATGTGACCACATTCTCTCTTTCTCATTACTGCAAGCTACAAGTAGTCAGTCATTTGTAGATTTTTCATAGAACCTAAACCCACAAACTGTAAAAAAAGAAGCCTTTACAGAGCTTCACTGTACAGAAAATTTCTTGACAGAAACTTGTTGGAGTTATCCAAAGATCTGATTCTGGACCAGAGGTCCACCTTTCAGCAGGACTATGATCCTAAACATTCTGCTGGTTTAAGAAGAACCACTTAAAGGTCCTGGACTGGTCCCATCAAAGTCCAGACCTAAGTCCAACTAAGAATCTCTGCTCTGGTTTGATTTAAAGATTATTGGACTCAAACAGCACCAACCTGGAGGAGCTGCAGACATTTGGACATGAAGAATGGACAGAAAGTCCTGATTAGAGGGACGAGGATTCTAGAGACGGACCTGAAGAGACTATCAGCTGGAATTGCTGCAAAAGTTGCGACTTAAAGTGCTGAGTTTTAGGTTCTGCACATACATGTATGCACCTACCGTTTTTAATTTCTATATGTTTATTTAATTATTTGAACCCATTTCTTTACCCATTTCACTTCAGTAATGGAATGTTTCTTGGAGCATTGCTGCTGCTAAACACGTTTAAAGGGCCAATATTATGTGTTTCTCAGGCATATACTTAAATACTATTCCATAATAAAATATCTATGTCACCTTTTGTTGTTATTAAAATGCTGTTTTATGTTTAAATAGAAAATAAACTTATCTTCTCATCAATTACTCTTTTAAACGCCTTGAAATTGGCCTCTGTCTTTTTAAGAATCACCTTCCGCTTCTGTCCCATCCCATTTCGGTGCCGGGGGGGGGGGGGGGGGGGGGGGGGGGGGGGGGGGGGGGGGGGGGGGGGGGGGGGTCGCGTGCACTATGATGCAGTTTACTTGGCATCTGAAAATATATTTCCTCAAAGGTATTTTGAATCTGAAAAGAGCTTCACTAGCTGCGTTTCCATTGCAAATGTGCACAAAAACTTTGTCGATATTCTGTTAATGTCGAAAAACACAGTTTCGCAATTGCGGTGTTTCCATTAAGTAAGAAATGCTATTAAAGTCACGTGTGAATACGCTTGTTCTCGTGATAAGTCATTACAAACATGGCAACAATGGATGTAAACACATAGCATATTGCTACCACGACACTAGCGCTCATCATCAGCCATCAGAGGAGACGTCGGGGTCTTATCGAGGCTTTCGAGTGACAAGCCCCTTGGGAGCAGCTACGTATTCTGCGTTTTTGGGAAAATATAGTCGGTGAGTTTACTACTTTATTTTACTACTTTGGTGATTTCACTACTACTTTTACTTCCTTCTTCTTCTTCGTCTTTTTCACCAGTAGAAACAGCTGGTTCTTGATCACGTGACTCCCGTGATGCGAAAAAAGTGTTTCCATTGCAGTTTTGCAAAATACATCAATTTCGATACGGCTGAAATACCACCTCATCCTAACGCAAAAAATTAAGTCGAAAAACGTAATTTTTTTTCGAAATTAACGCAATTCCATTGAGCAAATTTATTTTTGAAATTCTAATTTGCGCATTTTCATGGTCAATGAAAACGCAGCTACCGAGTGAGAAGTAGTGTTGAGAGCAGCAGACAATTTAAGTTTCACTTTCATTTTTGCTCTGTTACTGCCAGAGCCTGCAGGAGTCKTGGGCGGGGTGTGTGGGGTGGGGGTGGGGAGGTGTGCTCCGTGATGAGGAAGTTTGACTTAAAGACACGTCCCAGGGGCGTTTCTGGTACCAAAAGGCGTTTCTAGTCCCCACCTGTTGTTTTGCTCCTCAGCATGGCTTCCAAAAAACGCTGCAGGATTTCTCAAACATGAATGAGTCGAAGCAAGGCTTTGGGCATGTTTTTGATATGAGAGTATAACATTATAACATGATATAAAACTCAAAAAAGTTGATTTTACATGACATTGCCCCTTTAAATTCCAGGTTTAAAGGCAATATAAACAGAAAGATCGCCATGAAGCATGAATACTGTTGTAAGGTGCTGTGAAAACATTAATTTTGCAGATGAAGTCTGCTGATGGTTTAACTACATTGAAATGTTTATTATTTCACAGAGAAAGATGGATTTTCTTATCACGTCTCATGTTTTTCTTCAGTTTTTCTTCCAGGGGTCAAACTTCAGAACCAACAGGACCACCGGGTCCTCCTAGACCAGTGTCATGGCGGCTCCTGTTACCCCCAGCTGGGTGACTTGATGGTGGGTCGTGCAGCGCAGCTCTCTGCCTCGTCAACATGTGGTCTAAACGGACCTCAGAAATACTGCATCGTTGGATACCTGGAGGTGAGAATCACTCAAAACACAACCACAAACAGAGAGTAATCTGGCAAGGTGAGACAAAACATGAAGGATTTAAATCAATCTTAGCCTCAAACATGAAGTTTTTAGTATTTGAAGCTTCACATGTTGTGTTTTAATCTCGGTACTTTGATCTGAATTGACTGCACCAGAGTTTCTGGCGTGTATTCTGACTATCAGACTGAAACAAGCCTTGATTTGTAACATTATGCTTTGACTTTGTTTTCTTTACCCTGAGAAATATTTCCTCTTCTCAATCTTTGTTTTGTTCCTCGAGTAAGACAGAAATACTTTAGCAGCAGAGCTTCCAGTGAAAAACACTTCATTCTTTTATAATGAGCACAGAAATACTGCATGTTCTAGTTTTTTTCAGTTTCTGTTTTTAAAAAAGTGATTAAATAAATACAAAAAAAAAACCCCAGTTCCACAGCCATCTTAAGGCTCTGGTTAGTGAAAACGCCACAGTCAGAAGAGAATGAATGAACTTGAAACATGAAAATGGCAGATGGATATTGATGATGTGATCCTCTAAATTTTTGATGGAAGTTTGGCAGAAAACTGGTGCAGGTTTGCACACGACTGACATATTTATTGTGGCAGCACTCAGTGGTAAACCTGTCAAGGTCTTACGCTGAGATCTGACAAGACCTGAGGCCACCGAGAAGACTCATTCAAGCCTGTAGCTGCAGTCATGTCAGTGCAGAGTTATTACACCGCCAGGGTCCAGGGAAGACCCCGAGTGAAGACACCAACATCATAATACCATACCTGCCGCAATAGGCAAAGTGTGCGTCTGTGTGTTTGTCTGTCAGCAAAATATCTCATTAACCATGAGACAAATTTGAATAAATCTTTTAGAAATTATTAAGGTTTAGTCCATTTTAATATGGCCGCCACAGCAAAATGACTGTATGAGATTAACTGAACTCACTTTTACAGCTATTGAGATACAAGTTGATGTGGTAGTTGAGGACTCTGAGTACTACACGGTTTGCAATATTTTTACCTAAAACTTTGGCAAATACTGTTGGAGTCTTTGCTGTTTGTCTGTTAGCAAAATATGATTGACTGGATTTTGAAATCTCGCCCAAACTCTACCACAAAACTCAGGGTGGTGAAGAGCCTGAGCAACAATAGTATTTACAGTGTCTTCCTTCTTATTAACTTTCTGGGAGATTCATTTAAATTCTTTCATTGGTTCATGAGATATTTTGCTAACAGTCAAACACATTCACATAAGTTTGTATTCCTATCCTTTTTAGGACCGTGTTTTGTCTTCCATCCATTTCCAGTCATTTCTATAGCCTAACGCAAACAAACAAACAAACAAACAAACAAACAAACAAACAAACAAACAAACAAACAAACAAACAAGCAAGCAAGCAAGCAAGCAAGCAAGCAAGCAAGCAAGCACGCAAACAAAGAAAAATGAAAATCCCAGACACACAGCGAATTGCATATGGAGCCCATCCAGTGACAAAAATGAATGTGTGACCACAAGATAGTTAATGAGTGGTGCCTAGATAATAATTTGTGGCCACAAGATAATTTAGGCAGCTGTGTCTCGTGGTGAGAGCTAGAGACTATGTTGGATTCAGTTGTTTTTGTTTTTAACTGTTCAAATGTACCACACATGTATAAATATTACTTGGTGCATGTTTTATCCAAAAAGTATACCTATCTAAATGATTCATTGTTCATAGTACTAGTGTTTACAAGATGACACTGAAAGCCCTAAGTGTGTTTTGGGAAATGTTTTTCTTTTTACTCAAAGACAATTTCAGTCGTCATCTGTGTCTTGTAGTTGCAACATACAATACTAAAAAATTTCTCTATTTCTAACCATTGTAGCACGATACAGGGGGTCAGACCCCGGTGGCAAGATGAGTAAACAATTTAATAATAAAACAAAAGCTGATGGTCCAGCAAAAACTTACAGATATGAGGAAACTCGGGACGAGGGATGAGACTTGATGATCTAGCAAGCAGGTGCAGAAAAGAGGCCAGTTATATCGTGGAAAGTGGAAACAGCTGGCTGAGGGACAAGTGAAAGTGACAAGACAGAAAGCAAGCCCAAGAGGGAGACAAAACACGAGACAGACTATGACAACCACAAGTGACTGAAGTTTGTCATTGTAATTCATTACTAAATTAAAATAAAATTAAATGAATTTGAAATTGTCCATGGCAACAATTAATAGTCTCTGAATCTCATGGACACTCGTTAATGTTTTTTTAATCCAATGTAACCGGACGGGCTCTGTAGTTTTAGCCTCAAACGCTATTTTTAAAAAAAACAACAACCCATAAACATTTATGGCCCATGATTTAATGTTTCTTCATCAGGAAGAACAGAAATGCTTCTTCTGTGACTCTCGGCGACCCTACAACCACTACAACAACCCAAACAGCCACGGCGTTGAGAACATCATCACAACTTTTGACTCGAAGAGAAAAATGAAGTGGTGGCAGTCTGAGAATGGTAAGCCTTAAAGGATCAAGAAAGTGAAAATTTGTCAGATAAACATGAATCATTGTCATTAATATCACATCATAAGCTGTTGTTGTTGTTTTTCTTTGTTTTCTGCAGGAGTTCATCAGGTCAGCATCCAGTTAGATCTGGAAACAGTGTTTCAGTTCAGTCACCTGGTCCTCACCTTTAAGGTAAAATAAACTCTGTTTTTGCTGTTTACACAAAAAAAGAAAACATGACAGATGATCTGACAATGAACAGAAGGAAATGAGAGGTAAAAAACGAGGACGAAACAAGTGAAAACAAGTTAGTTGATGACAGGTGGAAGATAAGTGTGTGTGGAGCTGAAAACAAGGTCTACTTAAGGTATTTGATAAATGGAGTTTATACGTAAATTCAACTCTGGAAGGCTGGTGACCTTACCTGCTCCTGCAGACCTCCTCGTCTCAAGCATAGCTGTGTGCAATCGTCGCAAACCCAGCTTCGTCCAATCAGCTCCTGTTTGCCAGTAAACAAAAGCCAGTCATCTCCTTCGCACAGTCTGTGTGCTGGCTGACCGTTGGCCTGCCACCACCCCTCCGCCACCCTTCGTCTTCTGGACAGGGTGCATCTGGACCGGTTCTCCCATGTTCGGCTGTGTCTCTTCCCGTCCCTCATCCCAGTCGGTCAAGGCAGATGGCCATCTGTCCTGAGCCTGGTTCTGCTGGAGGTTTCTTCCTGATAACAGGGAGTTTTTCCTCTCCACCATTTGCTCAGGGTGGGAGTCTGTGATGAAGTGATTCAACACAAACTGCTGACTTCTTCTTCTCTAGATCCCTTCATGACCTCCACCACCAGTGTCAGGCCCCGGGGGGGATTAAATATCCTACCCCATCTTAAAGCATCTCGTATGAGATTTCAGCTTCACTCAGCGCTCTCATCTGAGCGCCAAACTCTAATGCCATTTATATCATAACATTGTTGGTCCGGTCGTGTCAATAAACCTCCAAAATTTCATTCTGTCTCGTGTGAGTCTTTCCAGGTTGAATTGAGAATGATACAGAAACTAAGCAAAAACACCAAATCTATGACAGTACCTCACTACCACAGGACAGCTCCAAACCCACAACAAACAGGATCAGAGGCATCCCTGGCACATACCTCTTGGAAACAGGAATCAGATTAAAAGGAGACCAATTAGAGCCCCTTGGTACCTTGGTTTGGCAGATAATCAAGACCCACCTGGGCACAGAAACAGGAGAGTCCTCCACATAGAACTCCTCAATAACAGGTCCGGTAAAAGAGAAGAGTCTTCTTATGATCCTTGACAAATGGCTCCATGGTTGAGACTTATCGTCATCATATCGTGTCACACCTGAATGATGTCTTTTCTCTGTTGTTGACCTAACAGAGGTCTGCAGAGGTTAGAGGAACTGGACTTAGGTTGGTTTAAACTTCAAGTCAAACATCCTCGCACTGTTGAGTGACAAAAATTGCATTACTTCCATCAGTTATCCTCCAGTGCCCCCAGTCAGAACTCTGACCTACGGACCATGAGACTTGCAGTGTGCGATTGGTCAGAACTCTGTGGGTGTGTTTGTTCATGTTGAGCAGTACCCCTAGTAGTGCTTCTTTCTGTTATTTTGCTGAAAATAATCCATTCCTGGACATTGTTTGTTAAATTAACAAGAGGAACAGCTTTGATGAGCAGCTAGTCTGATTTTATTGATCACATGAAATGTCGGGCTGTCTTGGTTGACGCCTTTGCAACATTGCATGGACAGGGGGCAGTGACTGGATTGGGAGACTGGGGTGGTGGTTCCCCTCTTCAAAAAGTTCCAGTTATAGGGGTATCACTCTCCTTAGCCTCCCTGGTAAAGTCTATTCAGGGGTGCTGGAGAAGAGAGTCTGATTGATGGTCGAACTTCAAATTCAGGAGGAACAACGTGGGTTCTGTCCTGGCTGTGGAACACTGGACCAGCTCTTTGCCCTCTCTAGGGTCCTCGACGGCTCATGGGAGTTTGCTAATCCAGTCGACATGTGTTTTGTGGACCTGGAGAAGGCATTCAACATTTATCAAGGTACACTGTAGGGGATGCTCCGTGAGTATGGGATTGTAGGTCTGTTGTTAACGGGGCATTCAGTCCTTATAAGCGGACCTAAAGTTATGTTCACATTGCCGGCAATAAGTCGGACCCCTTCAGGTTGGGAGTTGGACTTGGGTTGCCCGTTGTTACCGATGCAATTTGTAACTTTTATGGACAGAATTTCTCGGTGCAGCCAGGAGGCAAAGGGAGTCCAGTTTGGTGGTCTTAGGATTCTAGCTCTGATAATAGGCAGACGATGTGGTCCTGTTGGTGTTATCAAGTCATGATCTTCAGCTCTCACTGGAGTGAAAACAATTCCTTAACTTTAAATGTACTAAAGCTGGTGTATGGGCAAATAGCAGGTTGTACTTCTGTTTCAGTTTTTCAGTTGTTTTGATTGTCTCTCTTTGTTTTACAGATTGAACAATATAAGAGAGCCTGTTTAGGGAGCTTGTTGGTGTAAGGTGAATAGTCCCTGTCATGATGTGACAGTCTTTGTTGAGTTCACGTTCTATCGTTCTTTTTAGCACGAGTGGATCTCCATCAAACAGGAGAATGGTTGGGGCTGCAACAGGTTAATGGACGATTGGGGGTGTAGCAATTTAATGCTGAGATGGAATTCTGGTAGTCGTTCTTGGGGCGGAGATATTTTAAAATCCAAATGATACAACACCCTTCATTCTGCTGAAATACCCACCTTCACCACTAGCATCCCCTTTGGTCCCAATGTGTCTATGAGTAATTTGTAAGTCTCTTTAGATAAAATTTAAAGAAAAATGCCACTGAGCTGTCTGTCTTCAGAGTTTCCGGCCTGCAGCCATGTTGGTGGAGCGGTCAAAGGATTTTGGCCGTAGCTGGAAAGTGTTTCGGTACTTTGCAGAAGATTGTGCGCTACATTTCCCTTCAGTCTCTGATGAGACCGCCTCCAACATCAATGATGTGGTCTGTGACAGCCGATACTCTGGACCAGAACCATCCACTGGTGGAGAGGTACCACATCCACACACACACGCAAGTTTGTATTTCTATCCTTATTAGGACCGTTCATTGACTTCCATTCATTTTCAGTAGTTTCTATAGCCTAACCCTGACCATTTACCCTAAAGCTAACCTCACAGGTTAGCTTGACCCTAAAACTAACCTAAACTCAATTCACACTTTGGTCCTAAACCCAAACGCCACACCCAAAATCAGTCTCAGAAGTTGTGGGACCTAGGCTTTGGTCCCCACAAGGAGCACCCGGTCCCCACGAGGCTGCATTTTCCTTAAAACTGGGCCCCACGATGTAGGAAAAACAAG